TTAAAACGACAGCATCAGCTGACACATTTGACGTGACATGGGCGCAAAGGTGTGTGTATGTGTTAGTTTTCCAAAGGTTAAAAGAAAGCAAAGGAAAGAGTGAGGCACTTGCACTTTCTGGCCGACTCATTAAACGGTGCCAGGTGACAGGTTTCTCATGGATGCCTTCCGTCGGCAAAGTTTGCAATGTTGGCCAAAAACTCTATCTGACTCTGTTGATGACAGTTGTGCTGGCTGCCAACATAACCGACCAACTGACTAACTGTCTGCCCGGGTTGCTGCTGCTAATGCCAAATGCAAATTGACACTGAACAATGTTTTGCACTACCGTGCTAGCAACAGGTGATTTATCGGCTAATAGGGGCAAACAGAGTAAATGGTCGTGAAAGTACAACTTGTTTGTGACTATCAGTTTGTGTGTTGTCTTGATAAAATACTTTTAAAATGCCCAGAGCATTTAGTGCCGGTGGTTTTTCAATGGCTGAAGAAGAGAAAAAGGTAGAAAAAACTGTTTATTTTTTTGCAATAATTACCTTTTACCATTTTGATCCATTAGCAAAGTATGAGCATTTTAATGCAAGTCGCCCAATTTACACTTTTGTTTTCTCTTTAGTGTTAGTCCTTTCTGACAGTTTAGTGCCAGTAGAAGACGTAGTTTTTTTTAAAAAGTGTCATCTTTCTTAGTGTGTGGCTCTGTTTAAAACGAAAAGCAAATGCTAAGAACATAAACGTCAGTTGTAAAAAGTTAGTCAGTAGTTTTCTGCTGACAGATTGATGCAATAATTGCTCTGTATCACTCAGTAATTATTACTTATTATGACTTGTCTTACTTGATTGAGCAACTTGTTTGTGTGTATGTTTTTATTGAGTTGACGTTGTTGGCACTCTGCTCACTTTTACTGTTTGGTTTCAGTCAATCAGTGACCAGTGTATTGCACACAATTGAGAGTTCTAATCAAAGGGGGCAAACAGTTGATATTGATTTGATCAGCAGGTGCCCATTACTTGCGCCCGCTAATGTGCACCTATGTGTCTTTGGCAAAGATTCTGGGTAGTCGGTGCTCATACTAATAATTCACTGCTAGACGGTGGCAAGCTAAACACACGCACACACACACAAAGCAGCAGGGCAATGAATGCAATCTACGAATGACAACAGATGACAGTGACAATGACACGACTTTGGCCGATTCACTTGCATGCTCATGCGGTGTTTTGCCTATTGTCAAGGGTGATTTATTTTGAAAGTAACCAATAAACTAATGTATTGCTTTTTTGTAAAAGTATTGATTCATTTAGAACTAGAAAAATGAGAGAAACAATTTTGGTGCATTCAGTCCAAATTGCTGCATAGTGAAATTGTGTGAGCACTTGACACCTCAATTTATTTTTGGCCTCTTTTTTCAGCAGCAGGACGCCAGAACGACCGAGTAGCATCGATCTGGTTAATTGGTAAATTTCCGACGTCAGGTTTTTCTCTCGTTCCCGTTTACCGCCTAGATTGAGATGTTTCTGTCATGTACTTTTTTCCCTCTTTCACTTTTAGTCCTCTTTGCCATCTCTTTCAGTGTCAACGCGCCCACCGCTGAGTGATCGTTGTGTCTTTTGAGTGAATACATTACATTTCGACAGCTCTCTGCCGTCGTTGTCGTCCTCAGCATCTTTGATCAACTCGTTTTCAAACTGTGCACTCAATGCACTGCAAGTGTGCATTGTCGTGTCTGCCAAACGATAACAAATTTTGTCTTTTTTAAAGTAGCAAAATCTTCGGTGAATGTGTCTCATCTCTCTCTCTCTCTCTCTTTCTCGCTCTTTTAACTTTTCAATTTGTGTCAGCGACCAAGGTGCATTGGCATTGCGTCTTCCTGGCTCTTTGGAGCGCGCTCACGTCATTCAAAAGGTGTTCAAAATGTGACAGAAATGCGGTGATTAGCACACATCATCAGCGCCACTGACTGTTGCCAGCTGACCACGATGACTACGACTGCCACTGCCACTGCACACACTCTCTCCTTCAGTGATTGGTCTAATTTTAGTGGAGTCGGTGCACACTGCCAAGTGTTTTTGAGCAAACAACATTCAAAGTGAACTTCTTTTTCTTCCTCTTCTCTCTACATAGCACGCATTTGTGGCCAGATGGTAATTGACGATAAGAACTGGGCAGCTCCTTCTGCTGATTTGCCGATTTAGATGAACATGATTTAGACCACAATGTACATTAATCAAAATCAGCAGCAACAGCAAAGAGCACTTCTAGCCATCCATGTGATCTAGGGTTCCTTTCAGCTGGCAGTTTCCCGTACACTTAACTGCTCTCATTTTCCTTTTTTGCCACCGTTTTTGTGGATTTGGCACGCTTTGACACGCGTTTACTTCATTTACGATGGGAATTAATTTCCCATTAAGCGGACTGCTGCTCTTCATTATGCTTGTGTGTTTTATTGATTTAAAGGGGAACTACTAGGCAGTTGACTCTTTTTTCAAGTCACCCAGGGTGATTTTCTTAATTTTCTTAATCATCTACATTTTCCCTAAAAAAGGTAACTGAGGAATCACAAAGAATGATGAAAACAAGTTCAAGGTAGAATTGGATACTTACACTAGTCTTCTGCTCTACTTTACAATGTGAGCTTTCTTTTCCCTTCTTTCTCTCTTTCTTCTCTCATTTACACTAACCCGTTATACTTTGCCGGCTTGTCATTTGCAGTTGAGTTGCTGTCCTAATGGTTTTCTCTCTCACTTGGACACTTTCTCTTCTGCTGTAGCGACAGCAAATCTCTTTATTTCTCTCTTGCCTTAATCCTCATTGTTCAATTCAGTGTGCTGCAGTTGGCAGCAGTCATGTGTCAGTCTGCACCATTCTGCACTTCAGAGTTTCTGTGTCTATGTGTTTTCGTCTGCTTGGAGTTGACTGATTTTGTACTTAGCCACTATTAACCTTTAATAATAATAATGATGATGATGACAATGATGACAGTGTTCCAGATGTTGTGTATTTGTGCATGTGTTTGTGTTCATTTTGGAACACACTGTGACTGCGCTACTGTTCATTGCTAAAATAAAGGGCACATTTGCTGAATCAATTCACCAGCAACATCATTAATTGATTCTTCCTGTGCTTTTTTGTTTGTTTCAGTTTTTAATGTGAGTTTATGAAGACGAACGAATCGCTGCTGTTTTAGTGTGCGATATACCAATTGAATTACCAGTTTTGTCTGCTGTTGTATTTTCTCGCCACACTGCTCGCAATAAGTGTTGTAGCGCGCATCTTAGACCGCTTCCATTTGCTGCTCAAGTGGCCCATTACTATTTGCAACGGCGTTTTCCCCAGATGTGCTCAGTTTTTCTAACGTTTTATCTGCTTTTTCCTTTTCCCGTCCCGTTTTCTCTGACTCCCCCTTCTGCACTACAGTGTCGCTAAATCGTCACCACCATCTTCACACAGGCACATTGTTTTCTTTTTCTTTTTCTTCGTTGAAGACTCCTCATCAGTGTGCGGTGCTCTCTTGTATGTGTGCATGTTCCAATCACTGCACTATCTGCCTCCGTCGAACACCAGAGCACACACACACATCTTCATCAGCGTGTGACTGCTTGCAGTAGTTACTTGCTAAGTAGTACTTGTGCACACTGCCAAAGACAAATCGCCAATTTGTCCAGCGCTGAGGATGACCAAACGAGAGCACACGCAGACAAATGGTCAAAACCACAGCAGAGAGCCAAGAGCAGTCATCCCCATCACTACCACCATCACCTCTACCACTAAATCATCCACGTTGCCATCATCACCCCCACCACCTACAACCATGACGGTCGTCGACATTAGGTCGCAGGTCAACGCGCAAAGGCGTCGCCACAAGGTGCCCTGCTGTACGGCAAGGCTCCCCTCTGCATTCCCGCCATCACCTTTCAGCACCATCCTCCTCCTCACTTGCACCTTGTCACTTCTCATCCCCACCATAGTCTGTGCCGAAAACGCCCTCCTCACCTCCTCCACCTCCATTTCTCCCTCTACCCCTCCAAGAGCTCCTCTTCTTCCTTCTTCACCTCCTCCTCTTGCAGGCCATTCGCTGCACTCCCCGGAAGCGCAGGCCTCCTCTCCGTACACCTTTCACCGTCCATCGCCATTCAGCCCTGAGTACCGACCTGACTGTGACCTCATCTTTCCCGCCTCGAGTAAGCCCATGGTGGGCGACGTGGTTCACGAGAGCGAACCGCCATCGGCGTTCCTCGACTCGGCGCCCGCCCCTCCCTCCTCACTGCCCACCTCCTCACACTTTGGCGCCGCGTACTTCAGCCAGCTAGACAACCAGCCGCCGATGCCACCGCCACAGGGAGACGGTTTTCTCGCCAACGATGATGTGTCCTCCTTCTTCTCCAACTCGCCATCAGTTTCAAAGCCCACCAATGCCTATCTGTCAAGCTTTGCACCCAGGTACGTGCCATTGGTCGTTTTATGTCATCGCTGCTGCTCTACTTTAGGTCAGATAGTCGTTAGCATTCTACAGGCGCGACAATTCTGATAATTAGCGCCACTAATTAGCTGTTCATAAAAGATTCATTTCTTGTTTCATTGTGTCCGAGATGTGTGTCTGGCTGACAAGTTGATTTCTCTGGTCGCTGCTGCTGTTGCTGCTTCTGTTGTCGCGGTAAACTATTGAAGCAATTAGTGCACTTCTCGAGTAGAAAAAAACGACGGCGGCGGCGACAGCAGCAGCAGCCATTGACACAATTTATTAATTGGCCACAACATGCCCCAGTGCACAGCTTTTGGCTCTGCTAAATCCGCGCGCTCAAATCAGTTTGCCCCGACTTGATTGTCCTGTTGAGTTTTGCATGCCTGTCTAATGATGAGTTGTTCAACTTTCATTTTGTTTTCCCCTTCCTCTTCCCCGTTTCCAATCACCCACTTGCCTACTTTCCCCTTGTCACATGTGGTCACCCTCTGCCATCACCCACATACACGCACCTGTAGCGCCTTCTCAAAGCGTTCCACGTACATGGCAGGCGGCCACGTCTGTCTCACCTACGAGGACATCAACCGTGCCCTCTCCGAGGCGAAGATGATGCTGGGCGTCTTTTCGGTCCCTTTCGAGGTGAAGGAGCTCTCCTCTGACTACCCCAAACCGCAGCACATTGCCAAGGTGGGCGAGATACTGCTGCAGGCGTCGGTGATCCTGGCGCAGAAGCACGGCCTCTCCAAGCAGGCCCTCCTCTACGGCCTGCCTCGCATTGACACCTACAAGACGGCCATCAGGGAGATCTGTCCGACCTTTCTGAAGCCGGTCAAGTGCGAGATCAGCAAGTACCGCACACTCAGCGGCATGTGCAACAACCTGGACTACCCCAGCTGGGGCAGCTCCCGGTCGGCCATGTTGCGCTTCCTTCCGCCCGACTACGCTGATGGTAAGTGCGGTTTGCAAAAAAACTCTAGCAGGCCGGAAATGTCACTGTCATTGTCCTTTTATAACTTCTTTCTTGCCTCCCTGCAGGTCTGACTGCGCCTCGTCGTGCCAAGTCCGGTGAGCCACTTCCGCCACCGCGCATCGTCTCCTTCATGTTGCACCAAGATGTGAGCGACTACGACCACGAAGTTACCTACCTCGTCATCGCTTGGGGACAGCTGCTCGATCACGATCTCACCTTTGCCGCTGTGCCTAGAGGTAATTTACGACTAGTTTTTTTTCACTAGAGTGTCCACTTTCTGCTTTTTATTTTTAAGTCCGTCTGTCTCTTTCACTCTTTTTCTCTCCTTTTACTCTCTTTGACTCTTGTCCCATTCTGGCCGCTGTCAGCATGTACGTCCTCTATTTCCATTAGTGTCCTTCTCTCTCCACTTTTCTTCCCACTAACTTTAACTCCTAAACGGTTGTTTGCGCTTGTGGTGATCAATTGAATGCGCACACCTTCTGCCGATTATTCCTCCCTCCTGCTACCAACTAAATGACACACTATTTTGTGGCTAGACAAACAATAACAGTCATCAGCTGATTTGATCGTTGCGCAATTTTTTTCTCTTCTTTTGCTCATGATAATCATTTGTTTTTGTTCCCTTTCACACCCAGACAAAGAGGAGAAGCCCATTCAGTGCTGCAAGTATCCACCGGCACAGCGACACCCCAGCTGCTACCCCATATCCATTCCAGCGGATGACCCCTTCTACAAGTTCTTCAACCGTCAGTGCATGGACTTTGTGCGGACAATGCCCGGCGTCAAGCCGAACTGCCTGCTGGGGCCACGACACCAGATCAACCAGGTCTCCTCGTACATTGACGCCAGTCAGGTGTACGGCAATGCTCAGTCAACGACGAAGCGACTGCGAGAGTTCAACGGCGGCCGAATGAAGGTGCAGGCGGGCTACCGAAACATGGGTGAGTCAGATTACCTTTTCTTCTTTTTCTTCTTTGTTGTCTCTGTTTCAAGTTCATTGCAGCCGTCAAAAGTGATTTGTTTGTCTGCTACTGCTGTTGTTGCTGCTGAATCACTTAGCGCTGAACTTGTACTTTCGGTGATTGAAAGAAAGAGGCAACCTGCAAAGCAGCAAATCAAACGCTGACTCGTCCTAAGACTCTAATTAGCTTTTGCCCCCTTTGCATATTGTACGTCCGATTGAGTGAACGTGGTGAGGGGAAGCAGATGACAGCATCTGCTTTTGCAGTTGCTGATGTTAATGCCTGCCGCTTCTGCTGCTGCTAATCGGCTTAATGTTCATTGATTGCTCATTACACGCTCATTAAATCGATCGATGTGCAGGGGAGAGAGAGAGGGGCAGAAAAGAGGATGCAAGTGAGGAAGATGACACAGTCGCTGTGTGTGCACTTGTGAGCAACAACAGAGACAGTAGCACTAGGCCAAATGACCTGCCAGTTACTTAGGACTTGAGCTTTGGAGAAAGCAAAGTGAAAAGTGTTCCAAGTGGCCTCACTGCGTGACATTGCTGCGTTCATGGATGGCTACTGCTATGCAAGACAGGCATTAATTGGTTTGGCTAATTCATTCATTCAACTAGTTGGCCAATAAAAATCGATGAGCAATGCAGAGCAGAACAAATGATGATCGAAAATGATGATCGACTGGGAAAAGAAGGAGAAGAAGAAGGTCTTCACAGGCAGGATCGTTTTTCAGATCTTTACCTACTTCTTCTGCCAAGGCTGTTGATCTCATTAACAGTAGCAGCAGCAGTAGAAGCAGCAACACCATCGCCACCGGCGTTTCAGAAGCAAAGTTAAATGAAAGTAAAAGTTACAGCCAGCTGTTCTTCAGACTGCTCACTTTATTACAAATCGATCAAGTTGCTGAATAGTGCTGGTGTTCAATAAAGTTGCACACTGCTCATCATTGTTTTTGCGGTAAAAAAAGTGGGCTCTAAAAGTGTAGTAGTACCAGTTGATAGTACTTTTGAATTGATTTATTTTTGCTGTGCTCTTCACTTCTTCATTGGCACTTCATTGCACTGTCAAGTCAGTGTTTTCAGCTGCCTGCGCACTGACCATATTGGATCGATAGTTTCCGCATTAGCAGAGATATACTTTTTTGCTCCCGTCTCTTTCTTTTCTCGTTTTTTGCGTTTTTTGTACTGACGCCGTCACAACTGATTGCACCAGCACCGCCATCATCGACGCCAAAAAGTGGCACCTCGGCGGTGAGCACACATTTTCGCGCTCATTTTCAGACAAACTTTGTACCTTTGCCGGTGTCTCCTTCAATTGTCGTTGCTGTTGCTGTTGTTGTTATTGTTTGCCCACTGTAACTGTCACTGACACTTTGTTTCCCACCTTTCACTTCCCACCACCTCCATTTTGCAGGCTACAAAGACCTGTTGCCCATGAAGACGCGCAATCCTGACAGTGGCTGCGAGCGAAGCGGCCGCGGTCGCAACATGTACTGCTTCGATTCCGGTGATGTGCGCTCCAATGAACAGCTGCAGCTGGCAGTAATGCACACCATCTGGCTGAGACAGCACAATCAACTGGCGGAGAAGCTGGCCGAGGTCAATCCGCACTGGAACGATGAGAAGCTCTTTCAGGAAGCCCGGCGAATTGTCGGCGCTATGGTGAGTGCTGTTGTGCTGTGCTGTCTTGTGTTGATATTTATTCTAACGCACCCATTGAACATCGCTTCCTCAGGTTCAACACATTACCTACAATGAATTTCTGCCCATTATTGTGAGCAACAAGATCATGGAGAAGTACGGCATCAGTCTGCAGAAGCACGGCTACTACAATGGCTACGATCCAAAGACCAATCCAGGCATTCGAGTGGAGTTCCAGGGCTCGGCTTTCCGTTTCGGTCACTCCATTCTTCCTGACACCACCGAGCGGTACAACAAGTTCCACAAAAAGCTAGGTAAATCTTTAGCAAACTAAAACTTTTTAACAATCAACTGAATGAACAATGACTTATCTCTCATTTGCAGAATCAATCCGCCTCTCAACTATGCTCCGACAGCCGTACCGCCTTTACCAGCCTGGCGTCGTGGATAGCTTCATTTTTGGGCTGATCAATCAGCCGGCGTACCGCGTCGACTCGGAGATCACCACCGAGGTGACGAACCACCTCTTCGAGAAGCCGGGCGACAACTTTGGCATGGACCTGGCGGCCATCAACGTGGTGCGCTCCCGAGAGATGGGCATTCCCGGGTACAATGACATTCGCGAGTACTGCGGCATGTCTCGCATTCGCCACTTTGAAGACCTTTTCGGGCTGATCGACAACAACACCATCCACCGGTACCTGGGCCTGTACCAGAGCGTGGACGACATTGACTTCTGGAGCGCCGGCATTGCCGAGTATCCGCTGATGGGCGCCATGGTCGGCCCCTCCTTCGCCTGCATCATCTCCGAGCAGTTCGCCCACATTCGCAATGGAGACCGATTTTGGTACGAAAACGAAGGCTGGCCGTCGCAGTTCACGCCGGAGCAGCTGAAGGAGCTACGCAAGGTGAAGCTTGCGAGACTTTTCTGCGACAACGCCGATGACATCGACACTGTGCAGCTGTATCCAATGCTGGCGGCTCATCCTGCAACGTAAGTGTAGTCACAGTGTAATCAGAGTAGACAGAAGCAATAAGGGCACCCAAAATGATTGCTCTTACATTGATCGAGTGTCCGAATCCTCTCCGGCAATTAATCACCTGATTTAATTGAGTGCACTCTAATTTCGTTTGTTTTTCATCCTTCCTCCTTCTGATTTGTTCTCCCTTTCCTTTCTTCCTTCCTTCTAAAAAACAGCAATCCTCGAGTCTCCTGTCACGACTTGCCAGCTATGGATTTATCGCCTTGGCGCGAGATGTCTGCTCCCTACTTCGGCTCCGACTACGAGGACTACAAGAGCGGAAAAGCGGCAGCTTCGAAAGCGGCGGCAGCAGCAGCCAAAGCGAAAGCCTAGTGCTCCGACGATTTCAGTCGTGTAGTTCACATCACCATGTTCTGATTTTTGCTTTTAATTAGTCACTTTTGAGCACCACTTCTCTAAACTGTGCCGCTCGTTTTCTCCCTC